ACCCACGCTTATGTAATGTAAATTAATCTAACTTTTAGATAGTTTTGGAAAAATCATTTTATTGATAATTTTAATATTTTACAATAATTTAAGCATATTAAATAAAATTTTTATAAAACAAAAATATTTATATAAATTATAAATAAATTTAAATATACTGTATTTATATGATGAGAACATATACAATATGCTTATTTAAAAAAACTTATAACTATTGATTTGAAAGTTACTATGAATTATATTCTAATAATGGTTTGGACTTTAAGACCAAAAAAACATTTTTTAAAAGAGTCAATATTAGAGAGATTTTTTTGGTAGAAAAGCATTTTATTCACTTAAAAGTTAGTATCGGTTTAAAAGTCTTTACTTAAATTTATATACGATTTATATAATATATATTATTTATAAAATAAGTGAATGGAGTGAATAAGTAAAAATTTTTAAAGAAATAAAATAAGAAAAATACTAAATATATATAACAAATTTGGATATAAAATATATATAACTCATGACAAAGCTTTTTATTTGCACAAAATTTATAATAACAAATGTATTTAAAATATAACTTATTATATATATATACTGTATATATATATGTTGTCTAAACTCTAGTTATGAAAATCGGAAAATAAGACGAACAGAAATGTTTGTCATAATTTTAAAAAACATTTATTTTGGGTTTTGAATTGTGTGTTAAAAACGGCTTATAAATGGTTGGATTCAATGTATTTGACAGAAACAGTTCGCCACATGACTTAAAAACCAATGAATGAATTCATTTAAGGCATACAACTGACTACTGATGTTGTGATCTCATGATGTCGCAAAAAATAGCAAATTTTAAATTTGATTTTATTAAAAAGTTAATTTTAAATAATCAATGATATAATATCTATTAACTTCAATAACATCTTAAAATTTATTCAGCAATTTTTCAAATTTTTCGGCCAGCAACTTTTTCTGTTATAAATCGAAAAACTCTTCGTTTCCCATTTTGACTTCTTCTCGATTTTCGATTTATTTGCCGCCTAGGAAGTGTTACATTGATCGAAACAAATACTAATCTGACAAAGCAATATCTGGTCAATACAATGATTCATCAACGGTTTTAATACATCATATAAATCCGTCAAATTTTAATTGTAAACAAAATATTGGCAAATTTTTATCAACTTTGCCTATTGTTTAGGAGTGAAATCATAAAGTAATTAACTTAATTACAAATATCCTATGACAATTTAGACTAAATTCCTTTTAATAGTTTATATATCATAGCCGGATATTAATCGAATTTATTTTTAGAAAAACTTAAGATTTATCACCACTAATAGTTTTTATTTTTCGTTTTGAATCTTTGATGATTTTCCCGCGCTTTATTGTTTCCCACGTCAACACCGTTTTCTTTTCACAACTTTCATTAAAGGTGACTAATCATTTTATTAACGGCTTTAAGATAGACATCACTAATATTTATTACCGCCATCGATGGATTAGTTTTGGGACAATATTCAAATTTTATCACAAATCTTATCTGAATGTCATGAGAGTTTAAGCAGTGTAACGGATCCATTTAAAGTGATATAACAAATATTTCTTAGCATACTTAAAGACCAATAATCTATGTTATATTTTATCAAAAAATAAATTTAAAAACATTGCTAGGACTATTACAAAAATAAAATTACTTTTAAAAATATTTTATGCGACAAGAAGAGATCACACTATCAGTAAACACTTATTGATTATTAAAAATATGATTTTTTGCTCTCTCTCTCTCTCTCTATATATATATATATATATATATATATATGATTTATAGCAGTTAAAGTCATAATATTTTTATTGATATAAAAATTATATTTAATAAATAAAAGTCATATTTTTCGGAGTCAGCTATCACTACATTTATACTGTATATAAATATAGTGTATGTTTTGGGCACATCCTATTAGTTTTAAATTTATTGAAAATTTGTCTCATTTTTCATTAAAACTCAATACAGAATATTCTTTTCGGACATAAAGTTTTAGTTTTCTATTTTTAAACTTTTTTTTGTGGAAAAAAATATATTAAAACTATTTTAATACCAAAACACAAATAATTATTTTAAAAAATAAAATAAATTATTATTTGAAAATAAAATTTGATATAATACAACATACATATTTCAACAAATCAAAAGCACCAGTTTAAAATTTTTTAATATTGATATATTAATATTGAATACATTGTAAACTGTGTATTATATTACAAATTTAATCAAAAAATGCTAATTTAATTGACACTCGATCTTTACAAATATACTTATATTACATAATATTTATATACGTTAAATTTAAAATATTTACAATATTTGAATACATTATATTATTTAAACAACAATTTTAAAGTAATATTTATTTATACACTATATTATTATTTTTTATATGTATTTTAATACAAATTATTTAAGAAATACATTGGAACTTATGGTTTATGATTTAAAGCCAACTGTCTATACATTAACACAATGTATGAGCGATTTTCTCATAAATCTTTATTTTAATAAATGTATTATTTGTCAAATGAGATTGTGATGAATGGCATTATTATATCATATTATTATTTGACTTTTTTGTGTAAAAACTTATATATAAAATAAATATATCATTTCTCAAAAAAATGAAAATTTTAAAAATTATATTTTTAACAAAACAATTATTATATAACTAGTAATGGCTATTATTATTGGAGTTGTAATTTCATATTTTTGGCCAAACATTGTCCGTAAATTGGCTGCAAATAATCAATAAAATAACAATAAAATTGTATTACAAATTGTTTTATTAAATATTTAAATACAAACCAGTATTAGTGGCATTGGGATAATCCTCGTCTTCAGGAGAAACTAAATATTAATAAATAAATGATTCAATTAAATAATTGTTAATAATTTTTCTATTTTGTATTAATATTTGTTATTTCATAAAGAATTTGTTATATATTGAATAGCTTTTTAATAAATTTTTATTATTAAATTATATTTAATAAACTATATTATAAATATATATTAATTAAAATAACAAAATTTATATTTAGTATATAATTTGCTTAAAGCTTAATATCATAGGAAATAAAAATAATTTGATAAAAAAATTGTATATCAATATAATTACCGTTGTTTTTGTTGGAAGTATGCTTTTGTTTCTCTTTGATCACTTGATCTATAAAATTAAATTTAATGCAATTAAATATTTGAAACATCAAAACAAAGACATTTGCTTTTAATGTCAAAAATTTAATTTAATTTAAAAAAGATTTTTTTCTCTCTTATATATTCGGAGTAAAATCGATTGCCAGTCAAATACATTGACAATATATACTGTATACAGTCTATAACAATATAAACTTATATTCACAGCAAATACAATATAACATACAAACATAAACAAACAAACATAAGTTACTATATAGAGAATAGTCTTAACTTAGTGTTTAAGTTTAGTTTTTGTTAAATTATATGTTTTTAAAAAATATTTTATTTTACTTTCGTAGATATATTTTTCTACCTAAAAACATATCATGTTTTGCTTGTATTGATGGCAACATTAATATTCTCAGAAAGCATTTGAAGAACAACATTACATTATATATATATATATATATATATATATATATATATAGTTTATATCTGATTATATATATAATATACAATACAGTATAAAACAAGTATTGTTTTTATTGATAAAACATAGTTTTTTTAGTGTCTCAAAACACTACACCAATGAGTGCATTGTTTGACTCAATTTAAATCCAAATCATGTTTCGGTTTAGTTTTATTTTTACTCCGTTATTCAAACACAACTATCGCTTAAAATTTAGTGAATAAAATTGAATAAAACAAATGATTTATTTGCATCAACACAAGTGCAGGCAATTATGGGCCACAATTCAGACATTTTTTTAAAATAATAATTTTTACTAATATTTTAGAAATTTTCACTAAAACRACATTTATTTTAGTAATGTGTCTTAAGTTTATTGGGTGTGTGTGTGTGTGTGTGTGTGTGTGTGTGTGTGCTGTATATCATTAATAATTGAAGTCCAATATTATATGCTATTTGATTGTAAATGATAGCAAACTTTTTCTTATTGTTTGCATAACGATATCGACTGGCAATTAGGTGTTAAACGAATATAAAGGAGATTATTAGCGGATCATTAATAATGATTTTATAGTCACTATTTTAATTGGTTGACAAACACCGAGTTTGTTGATAATGAAATAATAGGCAAACAATTTTTAGGTGCATTACTATAGATATGTGCAAACAATATGCAAGAAATGCATAACCAGTAAATATTAAAATACAATATAATAATAAATGATTATAAATTTATTATAAATGATTATTTAAAAAATACTATACTTATAAATTATAAAATCGAAAAATATTTTTAAATATATTAATAATAAATGTAATAATTTAGCATTTTATAAATATATTTGGAAACTTAAAAGAGATTAAAAAAACACAAATAATATCACATTAATTACAGTACATATCATACATTGTTGTGCATATTTTATTATTATTATTATTATTAACTTATTTATGATGATAGTAGTAATTTAAATATAGTAAAAATAGTGAGTGCATTAATGCATACTTTTTCGTGCATTGAATGAGAAATTCAATTATTTTATTTTAATTTAATAAAATAATGTGATTATCAAAAGCAAGTGTTTGATTGAAAGAAATGTCTGAAACTTTCCGTTTGATTCATACATACCATTCATACTCTGTATTCTCGCAGTCGACGGCTCTTTAGAGTTGGCGTTAGTGTTAGTGTTGTGAATCTCTGCCACAATTGAATGGATAGAAAAAATAAAAAAAAAGAGAAATTTTTTATTATTTGTAAGTATTAGGGGATTTTACAAACAAAATACTACTATATGTGCTCTACATATATCGTATGTATGCATAGAGAAAGTCATATATAATTTATATATATATATACTAACCGTAAAGTCTGATGGATCCCTGTGTGGATCCCAAACTATTTTTGGCATAACATCGATATGTGCCTAAAATAAGAGAAATGATAAATTTCAATAAATCTCAAAACAATTTACTCTATAGGGATAAGTAAGTAAAAATAAAATCTAAATGCTATACCAAAGTCGGAACTATCAATGTTTTTGATGGTTAACTTCATATGTACTTTATATGTCTTCTCTGAATTGGATGTCTTATACTTATCACTCGAAACAATCATATAATTATCATCTTTTGTCCAGTAATTCAATGATAGAGGAAAGGCTTCTGTATTGCAATCTAGTGTTACTTCACCTCCAATGGAGGCACCGACTAATTGATTGGGAATCCATATCATTGGCGGAACTAAATTACAAGAAAAATAAAAGTAATTTCAGACAAATTTTTATATTTATTTGTTATTTAATTTTCATTTCGATCACTTATTTTAGTGATTTTTTCTAACAAAATGTCGATTAATATAATAGAGTTTCATTTATGGCAAACATTTATCGATTAAATATTATTGGATTTTATTGTTTCAAAGATATTTGATCTCCAAAACCATTTGTTACATTGTTTATGACATAATATAAGAATTTTAAGACAAAAATTTTTAAAATAATCGGTATTTTTATGATTTTTTTCAAAATATGGTATAAATTTTCTTTCGGTTCAGCGTTTGTTTCATAAAAAAATAATTCACTGATTATTATAGTGAAACGCATTACATATAAATAATACTATAATATATAATATAAAAAAATATGATATAAGTTGTGAATTGGACTTACAATGAACTTGTAATACAATACGTCGTGAGACTGACGGCGGGACACCTGATAGTGAACAACATATACAGACATATCATATATTAATTAGAGAATGAGATAACATATTATAAGTTATAAGTATAACAAATAATGATAAATGTGTCGGACATACCGTTTTGTGCGATACATAGATATGCTCCCATATGTAGTCGACTTACTTTATAAATTGTCAACTTTTCCCCCTCTAATGTGGTCTCTGTTATATAATAGTAAAAATATTTGTAACTAAAACTAAACACAATATATAAAATATATGTCATTAACAGACAAACCATAGTCTATGCCCTGATTCTTGTTTTGTTGCCAATTGCCGTACTCTAGTGGCTGATTGTCCTCACGTCTCCACATAAGTCTTTAAATTATATTAATTTAATATTAATTTGTTTTATAATTTAATACTAACTTAATATTCCTTAATAAAAAACTTATTTTTTTAATTCAACATTTTAAAGCCTGATTTAATCTATTAAATCTAAGGTATAATAACCCATAATATAACAATTTTTACTTATTATTTAAACTATATACTGTAGATTTATAAAAAAAGAAATAATCAATAAATTAATTAATTTTTCTTAATAGTTTTAGTTTAAGATTGAATGAATCATTAAAGATTCATTAATATTTCTCATGAAACTAATCAGTGAAAGTTAATACCAGAGATAATTTGTTAAATCTCTAATTTGGCTAATATTGATCAAAAAGCATTGAACAAACAATAAGTGCCCGAAATTGCATATCTATTGGCAAATAATACTTAAATAACTTTTTTTCTTTTATTAACAAAGAAGTGATGAATCGCATGAAAAAAACTCAGACCTCTTATCGATAATACAATACACAAGAATAAAGCAAATGTTAATATATACTGTATTACAGTATATTCATTGAGATATCCAATGAATTGTAAATGTAAGACATGGCAAATGGGTCACGACATACACATTGTTGCCTTAATAATCAAATAATAATAACTATATTTGCAATCATTTTGTCAACTAACATATATATACTAAATATAGTGTATATAAAGTTAATCAGGTGTACAACTGCTTGTATACACTGTAATATAGTATTGATATAAATGACATTTTTCTAATTTCCTTATATTAATATCACTTGTTTTATATATATATAYAATTCTATCTTTATTTCTAAAAATTCAATTCATTGAGTGCTTAATTAAAATTTCTCAGAATTTATTTCAAACTATAAAAGATGTTATTTGAGATAATAAAGTCTTGTAATTATAACTGAAAATAGGTCTCTATATAAAGTTAAAAAAATTGTTATAATATATTTTGCTTATAATTAATGATTTATAAATGACTGTCTCATTAATGGGTGGCTATCTTTTCCTTCATATAAGTTAACTGTTTATGACTTTTACAAACTTTTGAAACAATAAACATCATATCATTTTAATAGTGAAAATTAAATTAAATTAAAAATATAAAGGGTTATTATATGATATAATTTATCATAAATATGAAAATTGTTTTATTATTTTGAGCACTAAATTTTTGCAAATATCTCATAAGCATTTTTAGTGCAAATTTCAATGCGTTTGGCATTACTTTTCTAATTGTATTGTATAGTCATTTACATCATATGAATACAAATATAAAATGATTTACTAACTCATAATAACATTTATCTGTACTATCATTATTAATAAACATCACTTTTTTGAAAGCAATATTAACACCAATAAACTAACATTAAGCTAAAGAAAGTGTGATAATATAAACTATAATTCATATAATTTAAATTTATTATTAATAATTTATATTAATATTTTAAAATGTTAAGACATTTAATATAAAATATGAGGTCTGAATATTTTATAAAATATTATATACAATTTAAATCTGGTGTAAAATATTTAAACAACAATATAAATATTAAATGAATTTATAAGAAATGTATGTTTAGTATGTGTGGTATGCCTTACCTGGGCTGGGGATGGCCTTTAGCTTTACATTTAAGAGTGACATTCAGGTTCTCTCTAACCATAACGTCAGTACTGGTGTCAGCATTGATAAAATCGGGCGGAACTGCCAAACCATAGACACAATTAAATTCATTATTCAAATCAATAATTATATACTATAAATATAAATATAAAAATCATATAATTATATATATTGTTTTATAATTAATGTTTTTACTTTCAAAACAAAAGTTTGCTTATATATGCATTTATATCATATTTTTGTACATTAATTTTAAGACTAATGAATATTTATAATAAAAACCAGTTAACGTCTTTTTAAAGGATTAATTACTATTAAAAAAAGGTTTGCATTAAAATTATATTATAATTTATTAAAAATGTTAATCTAATCAAATTTTATTGCATTATCTTACCGACAATTTTGTTAAATAAACAGCTGAAATACAAAGTATTAAAAACGGTGACAAACATTGAATTTAATGTATTAAATGATGTGATGATATTATTATAATATATTATTGTATGAAATGATGTGCTTTTGCAATATAATCACATTTTTTCATATTATTTCTTTTACTATATTATATTATATGCACGAAAATTGTATGCAAATATAGATATGTATGTATTAATGCAATAAGTTTATGCAAATGTATAATACAAAAAAAAATTTGTTTCATATATTATTATTGCTATGTATTTTACTTACAAATAAAATGCCATAAATTTACATATCAAAATATAAAACTTAATTTAATAATAAAATATATTTATATTAAATAAAGTTTTTCGAGTAATTTTTCAGTTTTAGTTAATAATAAATACATATATAATGATAAGTTAATAAAGTAAATATAATTGACGTTTTTGTTAATTGAGAGACTTTAATAACATAACCAAACAAACAAAAAATGTTTATATATTTCATCCCTATTTTTATCAAATATAATGATAATAATAATACAGAAATATTGTGAATATTATTTACTCTTATGTAAGCAATTTTGCATTGTCTTTGGGCACATACACTATAGATATGAGACCTAATGGCGCTTTATATTATAGACTAAAAACGTAATGATATTGTGTATAATATTGCTTATATATGAATAACATCAATAAAAATGACAATTTAATGCTTTAAGATAAAAGAAAGGCTAACACAACACACACACAATACATGGCAATCATTGCACCGAAAATAAAAGGATTGTTTAAGTCATTGTTTGGTCCCTTTTCTTCAGTAGTTAGTCAAGAGATAACTCAAATACAGAGACAACAAATTTGATGGAAATGGATGCTCACCCGTCACGTCCACGTATCCGACCTGACTCTTCATAGGCATTGTATTGATCTGACACATGTAGCCTATAATACAATTAGATTATCATTACTTGTTATTTAATATAAATGTATAACAAAGTCAAACATATAATTCATGCAAATATTTTTAATATTCAATAATTGATATCTGAATTGTTTTTGTGTGTGTATTACAAATTGATTGGGAAGTCATAATTGAAGTCAGACAGACCTCCGCGATCCGAGTCCTGAACACCCTTTATATGAAGTGTCCAAACATTGTTATCCGTTAGACTTAAACTGATTCGGTTATCGCGTGTAATCACGTGATGATGAATCGTCAGTATAGTCTTATCCTCGACCCTAAGCCAAGCCACCTGTTTTTCAATACAATTTACATTTATTTTTTATCATTATTTTATATATAATTTATTTTTATTATTTGTTATAAAAACCAATAATAAAGTAATTTTCATATAAATAATATAAATTTATATATACATAAAAATATTAAAAAATAAGCGATAAGTTGAAGTATTTGCTATAAACTTATAAAACTGTTATAAAAATATATGTATATACAGTATAGTTAACTTTTATTATTTTCTTATCATAAAAATAATACCTCATAATATAATTCAATAAAATAAATTTTGCAATGCATTCAAAAACACTATATATATCTATAATATATATGAATAATATACAGAATTTTTTCCAAACCCATAATTCTTTTAATATTATTAAGTGGTTTTGGTTTTGAGTTGTATATTAACATATCATACAGTTTTATATATGCAAAAAATGCAAAAACATTAACAAAACTGAATATTATGGACCATAATTTAGCCTCAATTTACACAATATATCAATACATTTGACATTTAATTTTGAAAAATTATCACTTTGCAAATTGTATGCATTTTACTTGTAAACCATAATTAGTGTCACTTTTTTATGATAAAGTTATAACTAAAAATAGTATAATAATAATAATAACAATACAGTATATTAAAAAAAGTCATAAAATTAGTTTCGAAAATATTCTTAAAATATGTTTTATTATTATTATTATTATTATTACTGTTCCTCTAATTTTTATTTTAAAATATTGAAGTTTATATTTATTTTCAATATTCTATACTCTTATTAATCCTTTTTCATTTCATTTATTTTTTATTATTTTTTCGTTGAAGTATTAATCATAGCCTTAAGGTTTAGACTTTAAAAATATTTTCTGAATTTTAAGATCAAATCAATACTACAATACTATACTATTTTTTTATTTTTATCTTTCAATGAGTTAGTGTATTGAAAGTAAATGAAAACAAAAGAAAAACTGCTATTTAGGCGATTCAATAATGAAAAGACATACAAAAATAGAGAAGTAATACTTAAAATAATAGAGAATATTCTCTATAATTATGAACGACAAGTGAATGAATAAATATATTGTACTAAACAAACAAAACAGTTGTGTTTAACTATAAAATAGATATAAAAACCAAAAATTACTTTCGTTTATCTCTTTGTATTTTAAATTAGAAAACATAAAACAGTGTTTATGTCGATTACTTTAGCTTATAATTCGTGAAAATTACTTTTTTTATAATTAAATGTATTTGGTTTTGTAACATATATCATAAAATCGATGTTTAAAATACACATATATATTTACATGCATTTTAAAAACTATTATGTTTTAAACATTAATATTTTAGAAAAAAATTGTAAAGGAATAATAATAATGAAATAAAAATAAACATTAATATTAAAATAAATGATACATTATATACATCATACCCTATAAGTGTCCAAATGCTTGACGACACCTGCGATGAGATAAATGATTAGTAAATAAATGAATATATAGTAAATAAATGTTTTATCTAATGATGGCATACATGGTATTTTGGCGTCCCTTCCAATAGCTGCCGTCACATTTGGCACCTGACCTACAAATTCTGGTTCTTCGGTCGGAACGGTATATCTGACGGCATCGAGGAATGTACCTATAATTGTGTGGAAAACACATCATAAATCAATTAATATTTTTTGTATTTGACATCACAAGCTATTGTGAAATGCGTTTAATTAAAAAACAATACTTTTATAGCTCAAGTACTGTAAATTATACAGTATATAAATTATATGCCGCTAACAGTTTGTATGGGAAAAACAACTAAAAAATAAACAAAAAAAATAAGGGCGAATACCATTAAAGCAATATGATTGCAAATATTTAGTGAATAACAAAATTTATTAAATTATCTTTAATTTATAATGTATTTTTGTCAATCAATACAATAAGTAAGTGTTTCGACTTTAAAGTTTACATTAATTTTATTTAATATTTGCTCTTTTTTTTATCAGTAAAGACATGAAGACTACTAACATTTCGTTAGACATTAGTGTTGATGTGATCTCTATTTGAAAGTTTCAATGAAATGATTGCAAACCCAATGGATTTCGTTATCAAATTACGAGAAAAATAAGTGAATGCACTCAACATTACAAACATTTGACTATTATCTCCTATCCATCTCTCTCTTTCATATCCCTATCCATCCCATGTCTAACTTATTTTAGTCATTTGTTTTAATACCTGTAGGAATGATAACACTTTCTAAATGATAGCCAACATATATAAATTGTATTGAAACCCAATCTATTGATCCATTGTATTGTAATCACTATACAAACATATTATACCATTACAATAGATTTGCTTACAAATAAAAGTAAGCAAATAATCCTTTAAAATATGATGAAATGTTTGCTAATTTTTGAATATAACGTAATATATATATAGAATTTAAATTTATCGGTATTTTAATGTTATGTGAGATAAGCTTTTAGTATAAATTTGTATAATATATAAATTTTGTAAAACAAATTTCAAATACAATTTCAAATGCATTTTAATGCTTAAAATATCATTTAAAATAAAATTATATATACATTATTTCTTATATAAATAATATAAAATGCAAAAATAATAACTGAATTATTAACAAACAAAATAATTCTTTTTAAATTCATTTCAACTCAATTTAAAATTGAAAATTTCATATAAAAAGGAATTAAATTTTATACAATTATAAATAGTATTAAATTACAAAATCGACTCTTATTTCAAATAAAATTTTATAACGTTATAAATTATAAGAGTATTTCGGAATTTAATGCTTTACTGATTCAGTATATAATTTTGTGGAAAAAATTATATGTATTTACAGTTTTATAATTTTTTTTGAAATTTATTTGAAATAAAACATTCAATTGATTAAAATGTTATAAATTTGTAATATATGTTTGTTTTAAATTATCTACTAATATATTAAAATAATAAAAAATATATAAAATACAATCATAAACTTTGATCGACAAAAATTGTTAGCTTCAAAACGATTAGTTTTATAAATTAGAAGACAGCTATGAATAATTTTAGTGACATTTATTTATATAAAAAACTAAAATTTACTGTTAAATAATTACTGTATTTTTAATAATAATCATGTGTTGCAAGTGTTTTGATAAAGTGATGAACCGATAAATGATGTATAAATAATCACTTAATATATAAGTTATAATATGCGTTCATTTATTATATAAATGAATCAATAAATGAATGGTTTGGATGAATGCATTTGAATTGAAAATAGTTGATTAATAGTGGTGTCGACCAAATAAATTTGAATTAATGTAAAAGTTTATTACAACCAAATGTTAGTCAGTTTTTTTTGCATACAAAGACACTGTATTGTAAAAGCAGTGATAAATTATAGCATAAACTAAATATCACACACTATATAAAAGTTAATGTTTTTAAAGTTTTCGTCTTTTTTATTGTTATTTTGCATAATATTATTATTGAACGTATTTTTAACACACAAAAAGTAGATACTATATCTATATATAAAAAATAATGAAATTAATGAAAATATATGAGTAATGAAACAATAATTTAGTGAAAGACAGATATTGTATGCTATATTCGGGTCATTACTTTTGCTAACATTTACATAGCTATCCATTGATCGCGTGTTTGTTAGCAATCACTTACTTATAAACTCATAAATTGATAATAATATGTTTGCAGTGATTATAACTTATGTTTCGACATCCGATCAAACATTTATTCTGATATACTGTTATATAGAAATACAGTACATATATAACATTATTTAATATATATTATAGACTATTGCATATATCGGGGAAACATATTTAACATTATTGACCACCAGTTCCCTTCATTTTCATCGGTTAAGTGAACCGCAAACTAATATCGCAAGCATTTCATAATTTGTTACATTAGGTCTGTCCTCTCATTTATATTTCATTCATACCATTAACCAGATTTGCTTTTAATTTCCAACGCAATCAAAGATATACTTATAATTTATGAACTTTTTTATTAATAGTAAGAAATATTTGCTTATTTGTTTGAATAACTACTAGTTTTGTTATATAACCAGTAGTGCTATATATTTTTGGAAGTGATTTTTTGTTGTTGTAAAATACAAGAAAATTTCTAAAAATTTTCAAAAAATTTCTATGACAGTTTAATACGTATTATTATTTTAATATTATTTGACAATTAAATTATTTTTTCTGCTATTTAAATAGCAATTTACACATACTGTACAGTATATTAAATTACGTATAAATTTTGTTTAACTAAACAAATTTTTATATGAAATATAAATAAAATAAATAATGAGAATTAAAATAAAATGTTTACAGATTAAATTATTATGATTATTAATTATTTAGATAATTTAATATTAAATATTTATTTAGATGAAAAAATTTATTAAATTATAATCTCTATTGTCATTCACTGAATGAAAAAACTAATGATTTGCAGCATTAGAAATGAATAAAAAAGTTTTTTTTATTTGAGTTATCATTTTTATATTAAAACAAAACTTTGTATTTTTATTATAATTTGTTATTTTTAGAGCACATATTTCATATTACATATGCTATTAATCCTTATTATTTGTTATTTCCATTATTTTGCTAATAATTTATATATTCAACTGAAAACAACTATTTCTTTTGAGATCGCATTTCATTTATCGCTCAGAGCAGCGCTCAGTTGTCTTTCATTCAAATGTTTTATTAAAGTTTTATTTTATGCGTTCATTTGAATTATGTTTTTTTGGTTTATTTTTATTAAAAAAAACATACAACTCTTAGTTTAAAACAAATATTATATATATATTATAATATTGATATTTGCATAAAGAATTATAGATTTTATAGATATATATATAAATATTTTGCATAAATTTTTTTTGGTAACATAAAAATAAGTAATTGAAATTTAATTATAAGATCAATAGAGAAAAAATCAATGTTATTGTTTGACTTTGAAATGCTTTTAAAATTTAGTTAATAGTATTATACAATAATAATGGATATAATGGGCGCACAATTTCTTGACATCTGTTTCTTTGCTTTTATATATATTTCCATCACTTTCTGAGACATACTTAACATTTAATGCATTTCTGTACTCTGTTTATACCTTTGAGTTTATGATATCAATAATATTAATATATACTACAGTATATGTTTGTAATATAAACTACTAATATATTATTTTAACATATCCTTTAACTGTATAATACTATATTATTGATTTTGTTTAAAATTTACTTAGTTTTTCATAATACTGTAAACAATGTTTATAATTATCTATAAAATTTAAGGCACTTCTAATTATATATAAAGTTTATACTGATTTGTAATCAATAAATGCAATTAATGATTATAAACTAAAGAAATAAAAGCTTTATTATAGTAAAGTAAGTAAACAACAGTAATGAGCTTAACTATAATATTAATTAATTTATTTTAATAAATAATAACAATTATCTAAAAATTTAATTTAAATTAAAAGATATATACAATATGTAATATGTAATATGGTACAAACAATAATAATATAATATTTAAATATAAAATGTGATTTTTGCATCTTTAATCAAATATTAATAAAAATTACTTTAAAAATAATATAATTAATTTGATAAAAATTATATTAAGCTGTTTAATGTATACTTTTATAAGTCATTTTTAAAAATCGTATAATAATATTAATAAAATTATTTAAAGTTATATATCTTTAAAATATAACTTTAATAAAAAATATAAAAACATTAAATTTTATTATATAATGAGAATAAAAAATAAAAGATGTAAATTTGTTATTTTAAAACAAACTTTATGATTGACATAAAATAAATAAAAATTTAATTAGACTTATAAAAAATGTTTTGAACCAAGTTTTTGAGTTTTTATTATGAAGTTTAATAATAAATAACTCTTCATATAATAGATTAAACTAATGTTGAAGAATATACTTTTTTCTTTTATAAACACTTGTCTATAATAATAATAATAATAATAATAATAATAATAATAATAATAATAATAATGTGTTAAGTTATTTGAATTTAGGCTTAACTTATTTTTTTTTTGTTAAAACACACCTAAAAAATTATTATTAAGAAACACAATAAATTTGTAAGTTATAAATGGGAGAGGCGTTAAATTCATTGATAAGCAAACCATTATATATTATTAAAGTGTAATCATATAGATTTATATACATCATCTATAAAATAATCATTGATATTAATTAAGGAAAATGATTAATTCATTTCAAGTATCAATTTAATTTAACTCTCTCTCTCTCTCTCTCTCTCTCTCTCTCTCTCTCTCTCTCTCTCTCTCTCTCTCTCTAAGTTTGTTTATTCATTAATATTTTTATGGGTTTTATTAATTAAATTGAATTTTAAAAGATTCATTTCATGAAATCAAATAAAGATAATTTAAAATATTTTGTCAATATTTTGTCAAATCTATTGTCAAGCTAAACTCATTTATTTGAATGCTACAGAGAGAGAGAGAGAGAGAGAGAGAGAGAGAGAGATAGAGAGAGAGAAAGAGAGAATATAATAAAAAATTGATTGAATTTTAGAGATTTAAAACACAA